AAACTGGGAGAAGATATCTGCAACATATAACAAACTATCAACATCAAGGATGTATAAAGTGGTAGAGATAATATGGAAAAAGAAAACTACCCAAAAAAGAATAGGACCAAATTGCCAAAAGATAAAAACCCTACATATATATGAAAAGATGTTCAATCTTACTACAAAACAAGGAAATGCAAATTATAAAAATGAAATATTTTCCAATCAGATGAACAAAACTGTGTGTGTACCTCAGAAATAAAATGAAGGGACTAGACTTTCACTTTGGGTAATGCTGGTCTAGATAATTGCAGCCAACTGCCAAGGTCAATTATATAAGCTGGACAAAATATCAAAAATACCTGCCTAAAGGCAGAGCTAAGAAGAAAAGGAAGAATTGTTGGGACAGGGGAGGACAAAGGCATTTGAGTCTGCTTTTCCAAGGGAGGGGTGTGATAATTCTGGAGGGCCAGCTAAGACGCACTTTTAACCAACCTCCAGGGCTACGGGGACAGTAACCATGATGAACCCCCTCTTTGGGTTAGTACCCAAATACCGCACCTTTAAGATTAAAAGTGAGCCAGAGTCAACAGGCCCTACCAGGAACTGCAGCTTTACTTCAAAGACATCAGTCATTAAAACTGTATTAAAATGACTCCAGCTTGCTACTGCTTCCCAGACCCCTGGCAGAAGTAAACCTAAAATTCTCTCTGGAAGAAGATAGGATCCTAGGCCTCAAATTATTTTTAAAGTAATTGTGCAAATACAATTTCTGGCACACAGCAAAAAACAAAAATACCACAGTAGGGGGAGGGGGTATATGGGAATCTCTATGTTTTACTCAGTTTTGCAGAGAACCTAGAACTGATCTAAAATTTTTTATTTTTATTTTTTTAAAAAAAGCTGTAACCGAAAAAAAGAACCTCACAATAGTGGAAAGAGATGCACACACATGGACTGCAGCTATTGGAGGTATAAGACACACATGCTCCTCTGCTCAAAGAATAAAAGACAAAACTAAGAACTTCAGAGGAGAACTAGAAACTAAAAAATGAACCAGTTAGAAATTACAGAACTAGGCCGGCCTGTGGCTCACTCGGGAGAGTTAGGTGCTGACAACACCAAGCCAAGGGTTGAGATCCCCTTACCGGTCATCTTTTAAAAAAAAAAAGAAATTACAGAACTAAAAAATACAAAAACCAGTTTAAGAAGTCAACATAGTTTTAACAGCAGATTAGAAAAAACTGAGGACTGAGATTGTGACATCCAGGTAGATAGGGATAATTTCAACAAGTGTAACAATGACTTGACAGAAGACCCACAAGCATTCTCCTATTGTGGTTCCTCTTTGGGTATTATAGAGAAGGTTACAGGGAAGGAATAGTGATTGATGTAGACCTACATATGTGGGGAGTTGGCAAAGGCAGCCTTCGGCACAAGCTGAGAAGGCAGCTGACAGTTATGGTTTGAAAAATGTGAAACACCTTCCACTGTCTCTCCCACAGCACCTGTGATTCCCACATTATCCCCTTTTTTGAGTTGAAATGCTAATGCTATTTAGGAAGTATAACACTGCCACATAAATCAGTTCTCTAAACTAAGTTATCCACAAAGATATGGGTTAAACAAATGAAGGTAATAATTTGGGGGCAGTGAACAAGGCAGAAAGAAAAAGAAAAGACTGAAGAGAATTGCTGTACTGGAAGATAGATCAAAATAAAATATCCAAAATGCATGGAAAGAAAAATAGCTAGAAAATATAGAAGGAAGGCTGACACAGAAAGTAAAGGAAATGTGTCTAACATACATGTAACTGGAGTCCAGAAGAGAGGGAATGGGCAAAAACAAAACCTGAAAAAGTTAAGGCCAAAAATTTTCCTAAACTGAAAGACATCAAGCCACAGATTCAAGAACTCCCCCCCCAAAAAAATCACTTACACTGTAGGTATCATTAAACAAAACCTAAGAATTCATTACCAGCAGACATACACTAAAGGAAACATTAAACGGTTCTCTTCAAACATAAATAAAATGATCCCACATACAAGCTCAGATATACAAGGCAGATGAAGACAATGTAAGAGATAAACGTGAGTAAATGAATGATGACTGCACAAAACAATAATAATGCTTTCTTGAGTTTAAAATACTAGAACATAGCAACAGCCTATGTTCTGTTAGCAATGTAACTCATAAGTAGTAGTAATACAACGTATTCTAAGAACCTTGCATTGTCCAAGAAGCAAAAGTACTAAATAATACCCTAATTAGTCAATTGCTTACTGCTATACCTAGGATAACCACTAAAAGAAAAGTAAAAAGCTCTATAAATTCCAAGGTAACCGAGTGAGGACCCGAAATAATAAAAAATAATAACAACCCAAAAGCTTGTAAGAGAGGAAACAAATACAAACCTAAAGCAGGTGAACAATAAAAAGTTTAAACCCAAATATAAGTCTAATTAAACAACAAAGATAAAATGCCAGAATAGATTAAAAAACAAAAACCCAATTAAATGCCACATTTTTAAAAATTGGTGATGAATATTCATGGGGTTCAAAGCTGATTGTTAACACTCGTGCCCAAGATGTGATGGCCAGATCCATACTGGCAGCATGCCCGTTACCACAAATTGTGATTATGCCCCATGTCCCCCAACCAATTATCCCCAACCTCCCTCCCCATCCCCCATCCCCCCACTCCACTTTGTATCCCTAGGTGTGCTCTCTCCCTCTGCAAGTCCAATGCACCACTGTGGTCTTTCTTCCCTCTGTCTTTTAGCTCTCATTTATGAGTGAGGACATGCGGTATTTTATCCCTCTGTGCTTTGTTTATTTCACTGAACATAAGTTTCTCCAAGCTCATCCATGTTGCAAAAATACAAACACACAGAAGATTAAAAATGAAAGGATGGAAAAAGACATAGTACAAAT